AGACAAATGTTTATCTGGGAGCAGCTGGCAGAGGGGAGGGGGGGTAGTACAGGTGGGTGGCTCCCTCCCCCAAACTCCCACGAGATTCCTTTAACACTTTTTTATGCAATTCCATCACAATTCTCATATAATTTAGGATCATTTGGTGCCAGGTTGATACAGGTTGACAATCCCTTATCCGAAATCCTTGGGACCAGATGCATTTCGGTTTTTGGAATTTTTCGGTTTTCAGAATGGTTAGTTTTTTTTTTTTTTTTACAGGGATCAGCCCACCCGGGCACAGGTCACTGACCTACATTGGGGCCTGGGGGCTAAGATATAATAATAATAATAATTATAATAATAATAATAATAATAATAATAATAATAATAATATTATTAATAATTCTTCATAGGTCTAGGTCGTGCTTCTCACTTTTGATCTTTTTTCATTCTTGTATTTCTTTATTATTATTATTATTATTATTATTATTATTATTATTATTATTATTATTATTATTTTATTATTACAGTATTATTGTTATTATTATTATTGTTATCATTCTTATTTTATTTTTGTGTATTTTTTATTACAAATTTTATTTATTATGAATAATTATTATTATTACTATTACATTTTCACCCCCCAGGCCCTGATGTGGGTCAGTGACCTGTGCCCGGGTGGGCTAATAAAAAAAAAAAAAAAAAATTAATTTGCTCCACAAAAATAACTTTCGGTTTTCAGAGCTTTTCGGTTTTTGGAATTTCGGATAAAGGGTTGTCAACCTGTAAAATATTATCCTAAAAGAATCAGCTTTCCTGAAAGAAGAATCCCACTGAAAACCATGAGTCATTGTTTACAAAGAGCAAACAGTTGATCGGTTTACCACAATGTCTGTCTTCAACATTTAGTAAATCAGCACAGTACAGTTATTTGTTGATCATCAATTTTTTTTTTCGGAAATTATCCCACCCGGGCACAGGTCAAACGACCCACAACGGGGCCTGGGGGGCTGAAAAAATAAGAACTGAAAGAAATTGAAAATAGAGAAGAAAAAGGTTATACTGTCTTAATCTACACCACGAAGATGCCGGAAAACCAGCTTTTTAAAGTGAGACTGACTGTATAAGTATGGAAACACAGAAGAAGGCAGAGCATTCCACAGTTTGGCTGTGTGAGGAAAGAAGGAGGTACTATAACGGGTTATTCTCGTGTGACCGACATCCGCAGAGAAACGGTGGGCACGGCGGGCAAGACATGTGTTACGAGCCCACGGCCTTGCCGGCGGTACACAGGATGCCAAATCCACCGAACATTGCCCGTTAAAGTACCTGCAAAAGAGAGAGAGTGAAACACCATTGCTGCGAGGCAAAGAGAAAGGGAAGAGAGTTAATTAGACGAAATGCCTTTGATTCCACCCTATCTAACACTATAGTAGTGTATTTAGCATCTGTAAGTAATATTGTAGTGTAAAGTATTTTAGATCTGCATATTCCCTGGTTTATTCATTAATCATTTGTCTAAGTGCACATGTAGCCAAACTGAGTCATCATATAACACCTAAAGGTAGTAAATAAAATTTTTAAGAGGGAATCTTCATATCAAATACTATACAGTGTGTTATAGTGACCCCTGTTGTAAGCTGGTCTACTGAAAGCTCCCACGCGAATGCATCTTGAGTAAACAATCTTCTGATACAGCTTATCCTTTTATTTACAAATTACAGACAGATTTTTTTTTATTATTATTATTTTTTTTCTTTTCTTATGGTGACCAGAGCATCTCAGAGTCCGAAAAAAGCAAACTCCGATATATTGAAATACGATTTATCGAGGTTTTACTGTACTTTATATGAGGCGCTCAGCATTACAAGCGCCACCCCGGGCAAAATGCTTTTTTTTTTTATGGATATCACTAGTTTCACCCTTCCTTTACATGTTGGCGTTGGATATAACCCCCTAGGTAGACTAGAAATGTGGTTGAAAGTCCTTCAAAAATATGGTGTCATTTTGCCTCGGGCTGTGTGCTCAGTAAGTAAAGGTGGTCACATCCCGTTCAGAGTGAGAGGATCGATGTTTAGAGAGGGCAGAGAAAGACTTTGAACAGTAGGGGGCAGTGAAATTTTGCTCAAAGCTGCACTCTTCAGGCATTGTTCCTTATACATATCTAAGACTCCATGCCAAATTTGAAGCTGATATGTCGAGGTTTAGTCTGCCGCATTTTCTACTGAAATTTTTAAATTTACCTACAGTACTAGCCAAACAGCCGCTGTGGCGGTGCAATGTTCTGTTCAGTGTTTATCAACTTTTTTTTCATATCTCTTATTTCATTTAAGTTGTCTTGTTGCAGATGAGTATGGTGCTATGTCTATATTGATTATCAGCCATTTCTCATTTTATTTCTCAATGTTGTGTTACTGTACTGTAATGTAGGGGAGACCTGGGTAAGTTGGCGCACTTGAAATTATTCAAATAGATGATGGTGAAAGATCATTATGTCATCATGGTTGAGCCTGGCAATGAATATCTCACACATGTGACTCCCAAGACTGGACACGGAAAGCAGATTGCCAAAACTATTCACGAGTTTCTGGTGGAGAAAAATCTAACCCAGCAGCCCATTGTGTGTGTTGGTTGTGATGGAACCAATGTAAATGTAGGATCAGAAAATGGAGTCATTCATCATCTTGAAATGTTACTTGGTCACCCGCTCCATTATTTCATATGTCAGCTTCACGGAAATGAGCTGCCTTTCCGCGCAGTTTTTTATCACTATGATGGTAAACCAAGTGGTCCTGAGCATTGGCGTGGTCCCATTGGAAAGCAGATCAAGGAGTCTTTGTCTGAGCTTCCAGTTGTCACCTTCCAGCCAGTCAGTTTCCCTGATTTCCCTGTGTTTAATGATGAAGTGGAGAAAGATCTGTCCTGGGATCAGAAATACCTGTATAGGATTTGTAAAGGAGTTATCACAGGTGTTGTTGAAGATGACTTGGCTGCTATTGAGCCAGGTCCTCCCTGTGTGTCAAGGTGGAACACCTTATGGAGTAGAATCCTCAGGCTGTATGTAGCAACATCAAGACCCAGCCATGAGTTGAAAAGAATTGTCATTACAATAATAAAGTTCAGTGCTCCAATGTGGTTTTACATCAAGATACACCCTTACGTAACACACGGCTCAAGGAACGTATTCCAGTCCCTGCTATATATGAAACACCTGAATAGTGAGGAGGAGACGATAGTGAAGAAGGCTGTCCAGAGAAATGCATACTTCGCCCACACAGATCAACTTCTTCTTGGTATGTGTGCAGATGAGGACATGACTGTTAGAGAAAAAGCTGTCTCAATGATAAGAAAAATTAGAGAGGAGAATCAGCAAAAGGAAGAATGCACTGGCAGATCTGAAGAGGAGGAGGAAGATTCTGATGCTGCTGTTGACGAGAATTTGTTAAACTATACTGATGAGGAGGGTAAAGATGGAGATGGGAATGAGGATGTGCCTCCTGTAGTCAACATGAGAAAGGTGGTGGCTCCGAAACTAAAGTGGCAAGCAAAAAACTATCATTCCATGATTAACTGGAGGAATGAACCCAAGACTGAGCCTCCTTACATTGCTTCTCTGTCAAATCTACAGGTTAATGACATTCTTGATACACCATTAGTGGTGCCCTAGTGGCCAAACAGCACTCACGCGGTCGAGAGAGGCATAAAAGTGATGACTGAAGCTTGCACTGAAGTGACGGGATACGAATCGAGAGATGGATATATTAGGCAAAGATTATTGTCTAGGAAAATGATGCCAAGGTTCTGCACAAAAAAGAATTTCAATATGAACTTGTAATGATTTTCTATACTGTGTACCTGTAAAATAACATGTGAATTAAATCGATGTCACCCATGTAAAATTTATCATTATCCTGGAAAACATTAAATGACACCTAATTTTTGGTATACACTAAAAGTTGACAAAAAGTCGTTCGCGATGCGGCAGGGTAAGTATGCATGAAATGGCATGAAATTTTGCACAGGTGTTTGTTACAGCCATACAAACGATGCCTGAAAAGTGCAGCCTGCAACTCAAATAAAAGTGTTTTTTCCCTGCCCCCTATTGAACAGTATGTGATTGAATATGACAAGGCCATTAATCTTATACGCGCTCCTCAGTATTTATGTAACTTAAACTTACTACGATCTTCAGGGATAATAAAACGAAGGAATTAAGCAAAGTAAGATTGTAATATTATTATCATAATACTGCTTTTACCCAAGATTATGCAAACTTTCTCTGCCTTTGTATTCATATGTTAATTATATTGGGGGGGGTGGGAGGGGAGAAGTTAATGGTGGGGGAGATGAGTGTAGTGGTGTTTCCTTATTTTTAAACACTTATACTAAACAATATTATATATCTTTGGCTAATAATGGGGACAGAAAGATAAATACTGATAGGCATACTAGTTTTTTTATTATTATTTGATTTTGGGGGGGGTTGGGGAGGTGTAAGACGAGTGTTGTTTTTGGTGATCATAAACCTGTTTTACAGTATTAGCCCACAATAAGAAGAAAATTTTGCAGAAAAACACGATTATTGTTGGTTTGAAGCTCAAGCAACTGTACATCACTGGGTAGTTATTCTCATTCAACTCACGATAAAATAATAACTATTCACAGTATACTAACTTCCAGTTTTCACTGGTTGCTAGGAGAGGGATGGAGCTGCACAATAAACAAAAAATTAACCCTCTAGCTTAGAAAACAACAAAGTTATGGATGTTTGATCTTTGAAAAACTTAAAACGCATTTTTCTCCGCTTTTTAAATTTGGCTCTTCACCCCTTTGTAATGCGGAGAACCTCGTATCTAATAGAGAATGAAAACTTGTGATAGAAAATGGAAAGAACAGTAGATGATAGGTGCAATTTTCTTCTGTTTCATTGGTGCATTTTTCTGCCTTTTCAGTGTTTCCTTAGGTTATGTTTCTTGTGTGTTATTGTATTTTTTCTAATTTATTTATATCTTTCACAGTTTGGTAAAGGCATATACTTTGCTGACATGGCTAGTAAGAGTGCTAACTACTGCTGGGCAACAAAGAGCTCCAATGTAGGCCTTCTTTTGCTGTCTGAAGTGGCCCTTGGGAAGATTAATGAACTCCTCAATGCAGATTACAATGCCAACAAGCTTCCCAAAGGCTGCAACTCAGTCAAAGGATGTGGACAAACTGTTCCTGCTCCTAAGAATTTTACGACATT